AACGCCAAATTTCGTGTAAATCGAAAGATATACGACGAAAATATATATGGGAGCTATATGAAAATTTAAACTGATTTCAATAAAACTTGGCACACCTTAGACAATCCTAACTTCAGTATAAAATTTCATGGCATTCGGCCTAAATTTGACTCTTTGGTGCACAATTTACTAAAAATTGGACTAAAATATATCTGGGAGCTATATCTAAATCTTAACCGATGTTAATGAATCTTGGCACACCTTAGGCTATCCAAATTTCAGTCCGTTGCGTAAAATTTCGTGTCATTCGGCCTAAATTTCACTCTTTGGTGCACTATTGGCTAAAAATCGGACGTAAATATATATATATATATATATATGAGCTATATCTAAATCTGAACCGATTTCAGTGAATCTTGGCACACCTTGGGCTATCCAAATTTCAGCCCGTTGTGCAAAATTTCTTGCCAATCGGCATAAATTTGACTTTTTGGTGCACCATTTACGAACATATATATGAGAGCTATATTTAAATAAAATAAGTGACCTATGTCAAATTTCATCCAAATCGGACGGACGGACGGACATGCGTAAATCGACTCAGAAAGTGATTCTATACATATTCTCAAAAGGAACCATGGGTCTATCTCGATTATTTTTGCCTGTTACAAATATATGCACAAAGACATAATGCCCTGTACCACAGTGTGGTGAAGGGTATAAAAATCCAAGCCCTTAATTTTTTGTTAATCTACTCCTTAAAAAAAATATTTTTTTATAAAATAATGCACGCCTTAAAAATATTTTTTTTATCAAATAATCCACTCCTTAAAAAAAATATTTTTAAATTCACGCCTTTAAAATTTATTTAAAAATCGTCGCCTGTTAAAGATATTAATTTTTTTAATGCGCGCCTTCAAAAACGTTTTTTTAATAACCCAGGGCTTCATTTTTTTATAAATCCACCCCTTTCAAAGCTTTTTTTAAATGCAATCCAAGCCTTAAAAATGTAATAATCTACGCCTTCAACAATTTTTATTAAAATATCCACGCCTCTAATTTTTCAAATCTCTTAATATAATCCACGAAAAAACTTTTTTAAACCAGTGAGCGAAGCAGTATAGTCGGACGGGACCGACCATACGATACCCTACACAACTACCACGGAACTCAAATTTTCTGCGGATGTTTATTCCGAACCTGGGCAATATTTCGTGATATTTGCACCCTCTTGCCCGATTAGAGGTAAACAGCACCTCTTCCTCGCACTGACATATTTTCCCAATATTACGAGTATTCAGTACAGCTATTGTCCAGATTCCCTTCACCGTGGGTTGTGTTGTGATGTAAGGCTTTCATTTGTGGTCTATAGATCAACTCGAAAATAACACAAAAAATTAAGTTTTCGGTCCACTTCTTTCCAAAATTATTATCTGATCATCACCGAAAATTATAGACGTTGTCCTTGACCATACCTGGAACCTCATGGAACATTTCAAATCGATCAGCACTCTCTAGAGTGATAATGGGTTACTAAATAATATACGAATACCGAGATACCTGTAAATATTTAGGTGTAACTCCCACATACACATACAACAATATAATTAATCTTAATTTAAGGGAACCCCCCCCCCCCCCCCCCCAATTCTCGATTTTAATTTTTCAAGATTTTCAATGGGCTGGTATATCAATACCAATGCGTGTTAAGGTTTGCATCTTTACACATATCTAATTGAAGATTTAAAAGAGAAGAAAAATAATTTACAAAAAAATTTTGTTATTGTTTTGTTGTTGTTATTTGTAATTAAAGAAAAGTCCTTATTTTTTATGGCGGGCATGATAACTCCTCACTGGAACATCGGAATCCGAAAATTCCAACAGTGTTAGAAAGAGTACATGTCTGGCTCTCGTATGAATTAGGATTAATGACTTCGCTCTAAAATTAACAAAATGGCGGACCTTTGAAAAAATATTTTTTGGAAAATCGCCAATTTTTTACCAAAACCCAAGTCAAAAAATAAGGAAGATCTTCACCGAGTGGCTTTATCCTAGTTCATACGATAGCTACACACTCACAGAGAAACGTGTAAAAATTTGAAGTCGATTGGGTAATTAGTTTTTGAGTTATCGTGCCCGCCATTCGCAAAAAAATGTTTAGAGAAAAACGCGTTTAAAGTTTGAGAAGTCCTTCAGCCGTCACTTGATGCTGACACAACAAATCGGATATATCTTCAAGAGTTCTTGAGATTTTCACTTGAAATTTTGTAGAGACATTCTATAACCAGTGTAGATTCGAATTATATCAACAAAATTTTTGACCCCGAGAATGGGGGGGGGGTCCCCTTAAAGGTCAACCACTCCTCTTGGATATAATATCAACTTCTCGGGTCTATGTCCTTCAGTGGTAAATATATATGCCATAGAATACAAATTTTGTAATTTTTCACACAAAAGTCAGGGTCCATTTGACCCGCTAAATATTGATCGATCTTTATCAAAACAGACATGCTTATTCTTTGGCCCAATTCCCTTCTCCATGCAAAATTTGACGATTATTGCGGCCTCTGGAGTGACCAGAAAAACCAAAAAAAATTTAGTATTTGGTCCATTTCATCCCCTAAATATTAACCAATCTTTCCCAAAAACAATATGGGTCATCATTGGCCAGGACCCATCCTACATGCAAAATTTCGTGAAGATTGGTCCATAACTGTGGCCTGTATCGTCTTTATAAATTATAATGGACGGACAGACGGACAGACACACATGTCTAGATCGACTCAGCTAGTCGAGATATGACGATCGGTATACTTAAAGGTGGGTCTAGGACCAATATTTCGCGGCGTTAAAAACTCTTGGTTCTGCACAAAGCTATAATATCCCGAAAACATCGTTGTGTAGGGTATAAATGATTTATTTTTATGAAATACGATTTTCGAATATATCATGTATATACAACTACATTCAAAGGATGCCTTCGAACACATGCCAAACGAACACAGAACACGAAACATTTGCAGTAGGAGCAAGTCAAAGAGGGAAAAGTGGAGGATATATAAGATCAGTCATGGGATTTGTGAGTCAATTCATTTTTTCCAAAAGTATATTCATATAACATTCTTTGGCCAATAAGAAATTTGTAAATTCAAACAAATAAAATAAAAAAAACAAAATTCAATTTTTTTTTCTTTTTTTTAAACTAAAACAATGTAATTTTATTTAAAATAAAATTAAAATATTAAACTAGGATATTTGTTTTTTTTTTCTTTTCATAAATATTTACAGAAAAAATTATGTAAATATTTTTGTTTTTTTTTTTTATTATATATAGAATAATATTTGTTTTTTATATATAATGCATAAAATACAAATGATTGAAATGAAAACAGTGTTCAAATTTTTTTTTTTGAATTCATTTCAATATTGTATTTGTAGTTTTATTTGTTTTTTCTTGCATATATTATACCATTAAAAGTAATTTCGATCACAACAAAGGAAAAAACAAAAAATATATATTTTTATAATAATTATTAAAACATAAAATAAAATAATAAAATTAAATGACTACTTAAACGAAAAATTGGAAATAAAATAAAAATTAAAAATATACACATTTTGAAAACAGAGACACATATTTTTTCAGCATCGTCATCATCATAATCAATGCTCTAACAAAATACATAAAATTATGAAACAAAAAAAAAAAATATTAAAATTAAATAAAGGAAAGGGTGGTCTTTAAAGAGTTAATACAAAGAGAAAATTTTCTATTTTTTTTTAAAGTAGACAGTATAGGAAATTTTACTAAGAGAGAGAGAGAGAGAGGGAAGGAAGAGAGTTGATCTTTTTGGGAGGGGGTAGTAGTAAAAACAGTAAATTAGAAACAAAATAACAAAAATAAAAAATTAAAAAAAAAAATAAAAATTAAAAAAAATAAAATTAAAAAAATGGAAATAAAAATAATAGGAATTAAAAAGAGAAAGAAGTGTTCTTAAAACTTAACATAATACTGAGCAAAACAAAACGATTTTTGTTACGAGCTTAAGCTTTTTTTTGCGTGCAAAAGAGAGTGGTTTAGACAGAGAGTAAGAGAACAAACAAACAAAAAATAAGAAAACAAGTTGTTAAGTATTTAAGAGTAAAGAAAGAGAGTGAGGCATAGAAGCAGAGCATTCCACAAAGAGGTTTTTTGTTTTGTTTTTAAACAATAGGGTGTAACGAAATAAAAATTTACTATTTTCACTACATTTTTTTTTCAACATGCAAAGATTTGTTTTATTTCTTATTTAAAATATAGGTATATATGGACAATTGTTGTTGTTGTTTTTGTTGGGTTAGTAGTAGTAGTTTTGAGAAAATCATATTTTTGTGTTTTTTTCAAATTTCAAATTTAATTTTCTGTGTCTTTTTTTCTTGGGGGGTTAGTGTTTTTTTTATTTGTCTACATGTTTTTTTTTAAGGAAGGAATGTTCGTTTTTCTTTTGGGATATTTTTTTTCAATCCCAAGACAAGTTCCAAAAAATTGTGATTTTTCTTTTTTAAGAAATATATATTTTTTTTCATTATTTACAATTCAATTCAATTTTTTGTTTTAAATTTTGGAACTTATCATCTTTACATTTGCATACAATAATTACAGTATTTTTTTTTTTTCATTATAATTTTTTTTTGTTTAACAATAATTTTTATTATAATGAAAAAAAATCAATTGCTTATATTTTTTTCAAAAAAAATTTTTTTTGAAAATTTTTGTTTGAAAATTAAAAAAAAAACTTTAAAAGTTTTTTTTCTTTTGTAAATATTGCATCAAATGTTAGGTTTTTGTGTTTGAGCTTTAAAAGCTTTAAACAGCTTTTTGTTCTCTAAGTAGCTTTTTACGTTTTTTCTTTAAATTTTTTTTGTAAATTTACATTGTATGTAAATTATTTCTATAATTATTTGTGTGTGTTTGTGTTTTTCTTCAGATTTTTTAATAGTTTTTTTGAAAGCTTTTTTTCTGTTTTTTTGTTTTCTACTATAACTTAGAAATGTGTTACTACAATATCTTCTTCGAGATCATCCAATTCATCGTCGGTTTCCTCCACTTCCGGTGTGCCATTAACATTCGATTCGGCCGCAGCCTTGGCGGCAGCTGCCTCCTTCTCCTTTTCGGCAGCCTCAGCCTTTTCTTGCTTCTTGATCTTGCGTTGCTAAAATGGGAAGAAAAATTAGCAATTAATAAAAATTTTATATAAAAAAAATTTAAAAAAAAAATTTAAAAAAAAAAAAAAAATAAAAAAAAAAAAAAAAAAATTTAAAAAAAAAAAAAAAAAAAAAAAAAAAACATTTTTTATAAAAAAATTAAAAATTTTATTTATAAAAAAAATTAAAAAAATCGGCCGACAAAAAACCAAATAATACAAAATAATATTAAAATAAAATCAAAATAAAAATATAAAAAAATTTAAATAAAAATATGCCGATATTTAAAAATCCCAAAAATTCCGAAATATGGGAGGTACCGTTATATGGGGCCTATCCTGAAGCATGGGTCAATGTTGCTAATTCTTTTTAAATTAGATTTTCTAGCCAATGAGAACACCAAATACCAAATATCAACTTATTCGGTTGAAAGATGTCCCCCAAATCACCAAAATATCGAATATTTGAGGGTACCGTTATATGGGGGCTACCCTAAAAAGTGGACCAATTTTAATAATTTTTGGCACGGAGATTTTCTCCCCATTGAGAACCCATTATATCAAATTTCTTCCAATTTGGTTGAAAAACGTGTCCAAGAACCCCATAATACCGAATAATGAAAGGTCCCGTTATATGGAGGCTACCCTAAATAGTCGGCCAATATTGCTAATTTTTGGTATGGCTATTTGCCACCCCATGAGAACCCAAAACATCAAATTACAGTCAATTCGGATGAAAGTGGTGTCTAAAATACCGATATTTGAAAGGTATCGTATATGGGGGCTACCCTAAAAAGTCGGCCAATATTGTTAATTTTTGGTATGGCTATTTGTCACCCCATGAGAACCCAAAATACCAAATTACAACCAATTCGGACGAAATATGTGCTCAAGCTCCTCAAGTTACCGAAGATTGGGTATGGGGGCTACCCTAAAAAGTTGACTAAAAATGATAGATTTTGGTGTGCAGATTTACTACCCTATGAAAACCCAAATTACCAAATTACAGTCAATTCGAATGGAAAATGTGGCCAAGCTTCCTAAAATATCGAATATAGATTCTACCCTGAAACTAGGGCCAATATTGATAATATTTAGTAGGATGATTTTCTATCCAATAAGAATCCAAAACATAAAATTACAGCCATTTCGGATGAAAAATGTTCCCATGCTCCTCAAAATACTGAAATTTTAGAGGTTCTGTTGTATGGAGGCTACCCTAAAAAATGGACCAATATTAATAATTTTTCGTAAGGAGATTTGTTACTTAATGCGAACCCAAATTACTAAATTACAGTCAATTCGGATGGAAAATTTGGCCAAGCTCCCTAAAATATCGAATATAGATTCTACCCTGAAACTAGGGCCAATATTGATATTATTTGGTAGGAAGATTTCCTATCCAATAAAATATGAAATTACAGCCAATTCGAATGAAAAATGTGCTTAAGGTCCCTAAAATACCGAAATTTGGGAGCTACCGTATATGGGGGCGGCTCTAAAATGATGACCTATATTGATAGATTTTAGTGTGCAGATTTACTACCCCATGAGAACCTAAAATACTAAATTTCAGTCAATTCGGTTGAAAAATGTGCTCAGGCTCCTCAAAATGCCGAATATTGGATCTACCCTGAAACTAGGACCAATATGGATAATTTTTTTTACGGAGATCTGCTACCCAAATGAAAATCTAAATAAATACTAAATTACAGCCAATTGGAATGAAAATTGTGCCTAAAAACCGAAATTTGGGAGGTTGCGTTATATGGGAGCTACCCTGAAATTTGGACCAACATTAATAATTTTTGGTGAGGAGTTTTGCTACCCAATGAGTGGCTTAAATACCAAATTATAGCCATTTCGAATGAAAAATGTGCCCAAGCTCCTCAAAATACCGAATAACGGGAGGAACCTTTATATGGGACCTACCCTAAAAATTGAACCAATATAGATAGTTTTTGGTAAGCAGATTTGCTACCTAATGAGAGCCCTAAATACCAAATTACAGCCAATTCGGTTGAAAAACGTGCCCAAGCTCCCCAAAGCCCCGAAATTTTGGAGGTACCATTAAATGGAAGCTACCCTAAAAAGTTGACCAATTTTTTTTTAATTGTTGGTATCAAGATTTTTCACTGAATGTGAACTCAAAATATTAAGTTTCAGCCAATTTGGTTGAAAAAATATGTCCAAACTCGTTAATATACCGAATATTAGGCATATCGTTATATGGAGGCTATACCAAAAAGTGATCCGATATATCCAATTTCCGATAGCAATTTACCTAGAAGTACTAGCAATGTCTGAGCAAAATTCCAAAACTCTATCTTAAATATTGTGGTCTCTCTGTTTTACGAAATAGTGGTAATTTAATTTTTAGGTCCTCATGAGCGTATGACTAACGACAACTCGTATACGCTCGGGTATACAATAGAGAATATTTGGATAGAGAATTTTTAAATTAAAAAAAATGATCTGAATGTGTGCGGCAAATAATATTGTTTGCTATTTTTTTTTCGGGAGCTAGTCTTATTTTGGTATATTTTTATGGGTATTTAATTCAATAGGTCCTAGACGACGTATGACTAACGACAGAACTAATACGCTATAGTGTACCAAATGAAAAATTATTACAGAGAGATATTTTAATATAAAAAATTGAGTTCTATAGATTTTAAAGCATTCGCCTAAATGTTTGCCAAAATTTTTGTCGGGAAATAATTTTATTTCGCCTCCTGTTTAAGGTAATTAATTCATTAGGTCTTAGATGGTGTATGATTAAGGACAACCCTCATACGCTCTCGTGAACCAAGGTAAATAATTACAAAGGAATATTTTAAAATAAAAAATGGTTTTCTATGGATAAAGAGGTTGAGGGTTTGCGTATTTTTTTTTGGGAAATAGTTCCAATTGAGTTTCTTTTTATGAGTATTTCATTTACAGGGCCCATATGGCGTATGACTAACGACAACACTAATACGCCCCCATGTACCAAATGAAAATAATTACAAAGAGATATATTAAAATTAAAAAATGTGTTCTATGGATTTAAAATCATTCAACCGAATGTCCATCAATTTTTTTTCAGCAAATAATCGAATTTAATTTTCAGGTGCCATATGGCGTATGATTATCGACAACACTAATACGCCCTCATCTACCATGGGGGAAATAATTACTGAGAGTTACTTTAAAATTAAAAATACAATTCTATGGAAAAATATTTTCCAATTGATCTCAATTTTTTTTTCTATATAAAAATATTTTCCAAAATTTTCCATATTTTCTCAACTCACCTTTCTTCTGTACAAGATTTCAACGATCACATAACCGATGCAACCCAAAGTCAAAACAGCCAACAAAATGTACAACTTCATGCGGGCACACAATGTTGTGGCATAGGCATAGGCAATGACAAAACCAGCCGATTCCCACAAACGATAATTGGAGAAGGCAGCTTCCTTGTTGCGACGGAACAACAGACCATAGAGGCCATTAATTTGTGTCTGCCACACGGCATCACCAACACCCCACAAGCCAGACATGGCATAGAAGATCAAAGGATTATCCGGACTGGGACGCCAGAACAATTCAATTGTAATCAAAGTGAAATGAACGATAGCACCCAAAACAATAATCGGAGTACGGCCAATATATTTCATCACCGAACCGAACAAAATCGAACAGATGGCATTGACGACACCAAAGCAAATCATAACGAAACCAATTTGATGGATACCCAGAGCGCAGGAGACATAAGCCTGTGTAAAATCGGCACCGATGAAAGCCTGTTCCATGCCAATGAAAACGGTAATGGGAATCAACAGCTGTTGATTGGGTTTCTTCATTTGACGGAATGTCGCCGACAACAACTCCATGCCGGACAATTCCTGAGCCGATTGGGAGCCCTTACGTTTTTCACCATAACGTTTTAGCGGATCCAAGAAGAAGGCTATAATAGCAACGGCGGCAATAATACATGACAAATAGATCATGCTGATTTCGAAAATTTCATGGTCTGGTGGACGTTCCAAATTGGAATGTCCATTGCTGCCATGAACGCAAAAATTGGCGCCGCAGTATTGTAGGTCTTCTTCCGAAATGATGGAGCTGTTATCGCTGCTACCACCGCTACCGTGAGCGCCGCTAGAGAGCACTGGAAGAGAGAGAGAGGGGGAGATTTGTGATTAGTTGAATATAGAATAGAAGAGAAAGAGATATATAAATAATAATTGGAAGATAGTGAGACAGAGAGAGAGAGGGAGAGACAGAGGAAGGAAGGGAATTATTGGGGAGGGTATCAGGTGGCGTATCAAGCATATGTTAGTTATACGCCTCAGGGAGTAATAATTTATAATTTTTATAAAATGAAGAGCTTTTTATAAAATTTATAATTTTTTAAAAAATGTATAATGCTTTATAAAATTAATATTTTTTTTTAAAAAATTATATTTTTAATTAAAATTATATATTATTATAAAATTTATAATTTTTTGTAATATTTATAAAAGTATATAATATTTATGATTTCTATAAAATTTATAATTTTTTATAAAATTTATAATTTTTTTTATAATTTATAATTTCTTATAAAATTTATAATTTTTTATAAAATTTATAATTTTTTATAAAATTTATAATTATTTATAATATTTATATTTTTTAATAAAATGTATAATTTTTATAAAATTTATAATTTTTTATAAAATTTATAATTTTTTAAAAAATCTATAATTTTTTATAAAATTTATATTTTTATAAAATTTATATTTTTTTTATAAAATTTATAATTTTTTAAAAAAATTATAATTTTTTTCATAAGAATTATATATTTTTAAAAAATTTTATGAAGTTTATAATTTTTTATAAAATTTATAATTTTTTATAAAATTTATAATTTTTTATAAAATTTATAATTTTTTATAAAATTTATAATTTTTTATAAAATTTATAATTTTTTATAAAATTTATAACTTTTTATAAAATTTATAATTAAAAAAAAATATAATTTTTTATAAAATTTATAATTTTTTAGTTTATGATTTTTATGAAGTTTATATTTTTTTATAAAAGTTATAATTGTTTATAAAATTTAATATTTTTTTTAATATTTATAATTCTTTATAAAATTTATAATTTTTTATAAAATTTATAATTTTTTATAAAATTTATAATTTTTTATAATATTTATAATTCTTTATACAATTTAGAATTTTTTATAAAATATTTATACTTTTAAAATTTATAATTTTTTATAAATTTTATAATTTTTTATAAATTTTATAATTTTTTATAAAATTTATAATTTTTTATAATAAAATTTATAATTTTTTATAAAATTTATAATTTATTATAAAATTTATAATTTTTTATAAAATTTATAATTTTTTATAAAATTTATAATTTTTTATAAAATTTATAATTTTTTATAAAATTTATAATTTTTTATGAAGTTTATAACTTGTTATAATATTTATAATTTTTTATAAAACTTATAATTTTTATAAAATTTATAATTTTTTATAAAATTTATAATTTTTTTTATGACATTGACAATTTTTCATAAAATTTTTATAAAATTTAGAATTTTTACTAAAATTTAGAATTTTTTCTAAAATTTATAATTTTTTAAAAAATTTATAATTTTTTTATAAAATTTATAATTTTTTAAAAAAAATATATAATTTTTTATGAAATTTATATTTTTTACAAAATTTATAAGTTTTTATAAAATATTTGATTTTTTATAAAATTTATAATTTTTTACAAAATTTATAATTTTTTAGAAAATTTATAATTCTTTGGAAAATTTTAAATTTTTTATAAAATTTATAATTTTTATGAAATTTTATATTTTTTATTATCAAATTTATAATTTTTTATAAAATTTATAATTTTATAAAATTTATAATTTTTTATAAAATTTATAATTTTATAAAAAAATAATTTTTTTTAAATTAAAAAAATCAATACTCACCAAGACTCGAAATTAAATTGCCCCACAATTCAGCTGTTTGCCAGGCCAAAAAGAAGAAGCCAAAGAATCGTACAATAATAGCATCAATCGCCTGTTCCGTTATTTTCGCATAAACCTGACCGACTTGTGTTAGATAGGTGGCCTTGGATGCCCACATAGGTGCGGCACCCAAACCGACTAGAATACCAGCAGGAACCAATGTGTAAAATCTGTAAAAGAAATTTCAATATTTTTTTAATTTTTTTTTTTCAGTTCAAAATTATTTTTATTTTTTTGAACTCACCTTGGGAACAACTGGAAGGCAATGTAGGGGGCATAGCACAACATACTGAAGACCAAGGTCCATTTTACAGTTAGCTTACGAATAATTAATGTGGGCAGGAAGATGCAGGATACCACCAAGGCGGCATATATAGAACTCAATGATATGGTACCGAGACCATCGGTGGCATTTATCGATGACTGTAAGTTAGCTGTACCCTGGAATGGATTAGGAAATAGAAAAAAATGGAGGGAATTAAAGAAAATTTTGAAAATAAAAAAATTTACTATAATATAAAAAATTATTATTTATTATTTTTTATAAAATTTTTAATTTGTATAAAATTTAATTTTTTTAAAAAATATATTTTCTAAATTTTTCAAATAATTTTTTTTAATTATTTTTTTTTATTTAATTTTTTTTTAAATTATTTTTTTATTTAAATTTTTTTAATTATTTTTTTAAATTAATTTACCTGAAACGCTGTAAATTGCACCATAAAGGCTAACGATATAATGCCAATATTTTTCAATATACGCCATTTTTCAGCAGGATTCAATATAACTTTCTCTCTCAGCGATGCTGTGTCCGGTTCGAAACCTGGTTTTGGCTGCAAAGACAACAAAAATTGAAAAAAAAAATTGATTAATTATTTATTTTTTTTTTTTCGAAAAAACAATAATAAATAATAATAGATTTATGTTTTTTTTTTGTTATGTTAAAAAATCCCCCCTTAATTTATGTCACACAACAAATAATCAAATATTTTATCTGGAAACCTTTATGATAAACATGCTAATTCTTGTTAACATAAAAAAGCGAAGAAGAAGATTTGACATAATTAAATATTCAAATAACCTGCTGTCGTTTAAAAACAAAACCACTTGTCATTAAACATTGTTAAAAAATTGTTATAAATTTTATTGGGGGTTTTGTTTGTATAAAATTTGGTTTATTGATTGCTGGTAGTAGTTTCTCAAAAATAGACAAATGACAAGATTTTTTTTTCAAATTTATTAACAAGGGGTTTATGCTAAACACACAAATTCCAATATTCATGCCAAGTCAAGCACATCTGTTTTGAAAACAGATTTTTGGTTTTGAGGAGACTATGTAGACTAATTGTTTTTGTAAAAGAGATCTTTTTTTTTATAGAAAAAGTTAAATATGCAAGGCAATTTTGAGTTTATTTTTTTTAAAAATTTTATTTTTTTTTTAATTAAAAAAAAAAGATTTTGTTAATTGTGATTTTTTTATTTTTATCTATTTCAGATATAGAACCGTTTCAACGAAAAAAAGGTAAGTACTTCAAACATTTTATTTCGTGAATTTGCAAAAACCCGTTCATTCTTAGTTCCGTTTCCAACAAGGAACTTCCATTATATTCCTTCATTGGGGAACAAAGTACTGGTCGCATTTTTGATCCGATTTGGATGAAATTTGGCATAGGTCACTTATTTGGCCCAAGGACGAACCCTAATGAAATTGGGAAAAATCGGTTCAGATTTAGATATAGCTCCCATATATAGATTCGCCCGATTTTAGGAAATGGTGCACCAAAGTCCCTGCAAATCTTTCGATTTGCACGAAATGTGCACAATTTACTGAATTAAGACTAGAATGATGTGTGTTAAGTTTCGTGAAAATCGGGTAAGATTTAGATATAACCCCCATATATAGTTTCGCCCGATTTGAGGTAAATGGTGCACCAAAGTTCCTGAAAATCATTCGATTTGCATGAATTTCGGCATAGCGTACTGAATTAAGTCTAGAATAATGTGTGCTAAGTTTCGTGAAAATCGGTTCAGATTTAGATATAGCTCCCATATATATTTTCGTCCGATTTAATGTAAATGGTGGACCAAAGACCCTATATATCTGTCGATTTGCACGAAATTTAGTGTAACGTACTGAATTGAGCCTAGAATAATATGTGCTAAGTTTCGTGAAAATCGGTGCGGATTTAGATATAGCTCCCATATATAGTTTCGCCCGATTTTAGGAAAATGGTGCACCAAAGTCCCTATATATCTTTCGATTTGCACGAAATTTGGCACAACGTACTGAATTAAGCCTAGAATAATGTGTGTTAAGTTTCGTGAAAATCGGTTTATATTTAGATAAAGCTCACATATAGATTTTCGTCCGATTTAAGGTAAATGGTGCACCAAAGTCCCTATATATCTTTCGATTTGCACGAAATTTGGCACAGCGTAATGAATTAGGTCTAGAATGATGTGTGTTAAGTTTCGTGAAAATCGGTTCAGATTTAGATATAGCTCCCATATATATTTTCGTCCGCTTTCATGTAAATGGTAAACCAAAGTCCCTATATATCTTTCGATTTGCACAAAATTTGGCATAGCGAACTGAATTGATTCTAGAATGATGTGTGACAAGTTTCGGAAAACCGATATAGCTCCCACATATACATATATATTAAATGGTGCCTGAAACACCTAATGTTTGTCCGATTAACACGAAATTTTGCTCAACATATGGGACTTGACGTTATTGCGTTTCGTTGAAATTGGCCATAGCTTCCATATATATTTCGCACGGGTGTCTGATTGAAATTAAATTTTGAAGAGTGCGGCATAGCATAGGTTTCAGAATATATGTACGGATTGATGTTAGTCGGTTCACATATAGATAAAAATCACATATTTTAGTTCGTTCAATTGCATGTCAATGGTCCTTCGAAAAGGCGACGTCTATTAGGATATATATATATATATGGAGAATATATCAAAGTGGTTGTTCAAAATGCTTTGAACAGACATTTAATTTGTCAGCTCTTCTTGCCAGTCGTCAGTATGTTCAAAATACTTTGAACAGAATTTTGTGTTACAGAAGATTCGATCGTTGGAGTGTTTTAAGATAAGAGTCTAAAATCCCACATGCAACGCAGATAAGGCTGTGGTAGTTGGTGTTGGTGTTTTATGACGCACACGATGGGAAAGTTCTCCACAGATCAAATTCTATTATTAGAACAAATAGTTTATTGATAAGTATTTTGTGTTTGAGATTAGGCTAAGCAAGAGTTGTTTAAGTATAACCTAAGGATAAATGTTTTAAAATAAAATTAGTGCCTAGCCAACACTCACCAAGAACGGTCGGGAGCACCGAGTCTCAATAATTTTGGTGCAGAGGAGTGCCTAACAAACACTCAAATAGTACGACAGGGGTCACCGTGTCGTGTCATTATTTTTTATACACACGAGTTGCGGCTGTCTGCACCGTGTCGTGTCTTTATTTTTTATACAGACGAACTTCGTCTGTCTGAAAATTTAACATTTTTGGTCCTTCGAAAAACTGAGTTTTCCCCCCACCCGTGGTAAGAGACTCAGTTCAATCAGCGTTTGGCTTTGAAAAAATACAATAGCGATTTTGAGTAAGGAGCTCAGGAATTGCTAGGTTTTCTGTTCAACGAGGTGAACAGTTTTTTATTAAAAACAAAATAAAATGGAGTTAGATTTTTCCATAGTGTCTTGGGAAAAAAGACTTGATGAAAAGGAGAGAACGAGCATGTACAGGCGGTTTAATCGAGACGCACAGGAGTTAAACCCCAATATGTGCATATATAACGAAAAGAATACCCTTCCGGCCAGAAGGTCTACTAAAGGAATTGGGTGAAGATTATTAAAGACAAGTTGGCTGAATTTAAGCAACTTGAATCCGATATCAAGGATAAAAATATAACTGCAGATCTGGTGCAGGAGGTGACCCAAATGTGTGAAACCATTGCAAAGGAAGTGGATGGAATTAAGCGAAATTATCTGGAATTCTATTGTCCGATTTACGCCAAGAACATGAAAGTTTATGATTTCGCATTAGAGGAAATATACAATGAAGTCGATTATGTGATTAGCCGATGTGATGACGTGAAAAATGAATTACCCAAAATATCGAAAAAGAAAGCCCTAACCTAGATGGGATATCTGAAGGCCAGAAGGTCTACTAAAGGAATAAGATTATTAAAGACAAGTTGGCTGAACTGAAGCAACTTGAATCCGATATCAAGGATAAAAATATAACTGCAGATCTGGTGCAGGAGGTGACCCAAATGTGTGAAACCATTGTAAAGGAAATGGATGGAATCAAGCGAAATTATCTGGAGTTCTATAGTCCGATCTACGCCAAGAACATGAAAATTTATGATTTCGCATTAGAGGAAATATACAATGAAGCCGATTATGTGATTAGCCGATGTGATGACGTGAAAAATGAATTACCCAAAATGTCGCAAAAATGAAAGCCTTAACCGAGATGGAATATCTGAAGGCTTCATATATATGGAGATCAGAAAGTTGATTCCAAAAGTTTCAAATGTGGAATTAAATTTTTTTTTTACATTTTTTTTAAATAGCTAATTTTTTGCCCTGGTGTAGCTTATGAAAATTGCTATCTCACTGCGGATCTTATATTGTATCCTTTATTATATATTTTTTTAATTTTTTTTTGTTGTAACTCATATTCGTCCTTGAGTTATATAGTCTCGAATACTTGGCTAGTGTTTTTCTTCTTTGTTGTTTTATCTGTTTTTTTTTGCATTACAGCTTCTTATTCTGGGTCATCATGACGATGATATCGCTTCGAAATATTTTAGCATATTAAACCAGTTATAAATGTGTATGAAACATTTGTAAAGGGCGCTCTCTTTATTTACCATGACATATTTTTGTTGTTGTTGTTGTTGTTGTACAACAATTTATGTATTTTTATGAACTTAAAAAAAGGGCATTTAAATACAATATTTTTTTTTTGTTATGGTTGAAAAGAAGAAGAGAAGCTGTGATGTATCTAAATGTCGATAATTATATTTCCTTATCATCGCAGAGACAAAGGGAAAAACCAACACACACACACAAAATAAAACAACAATGACAAGAACAACAACAACAACACCGAATAGTTAACAATTCAAGTTCATTAATTACAAGACAGATTGTTGTTTTATCTTGATTTTTTGCTGTTGTTGTTGTTGTTGTTGGAAGTGCAACAAAATTCCCAAGAAAAACAAATACTACCGCGACCCTGTACTTGAGAAAAAAATATGTGATTTTGGTGTAGTTGTTGTTATTGTTGTTTTATTATTATTTTTTCAAAATTTATCTTTATTGTTTTAAATGGCTTCAAAATTTGGCTAATAACATATTTTTTGGTAAATATGTGTCTTATCACATGGTTGCTCTTTTTTTTTATTAATTTATGCCATGTAATAAATTTTAAATGAAATTAAAAAAAAAAAAAAAAAACATTTTTTTGGTAATTAAATTTTTTTATTACTGCGGTAGGAAGAAGCACCTACTTGTTGAGTATGTTGTAGTTATGTATGATATGCCAGCCCTAGACTAGTTTTTCAAATTCCCCAACACCACATAATTTATGTTCGACAAAATGTTTTATTATCTGTTGTACACATAACAAAAATGTGTGTGTGCGAGTGTGTGTTTGTTTCGGTTGGTGCGAAAAAAAAACTGTTAAGCGCTACTGTAAATATAAATATTTTAGGTTTTTTAGTTTAAGTTTTTTGTTTTAATTTTTTTTTTAGTTTCAAACAATTTATATTTACAATATTCGCTCCGCACATTCAGGCAATTGAAAAAT